ATTGTAACACGAAAATTATTGTTGCACTTCTGAGCATAACTTTCAAATTTAAAAAATCTATGAAAAGAAAATTTGAGGCAAATTTTTTTTACCAATGTGTGGATCACATAATATTTCAAAAATTTTAACTTTTGAGTATAGATGATCCGCACTGTACATATACCCATGATTCCCCTCTTTGTTTTATTATCAATGGCTTCCTGCAAAAGAGCCATTGATTCATCACGATTAGATAGTTATCAACTTTTATATCATATTTTCCCTTTTTTTTTTGATTTTATCAATAGACCACTGACTAGGATTTGAGGCTGTGATTTTTTTATATCATTAGTAAGTATCAAACATCAATTCTTATATTCAAATACTACTTACTACTATTGCTTGGCATTGAAATTATCCATTTAGAATTTGGGGTAGGTTTTTCTTGTGTTTCTGTTATTCATTGTTTTTTGAATAATAACTGGAGAAAAGGGTTTCTATTTTCCAAAATTTGTTAAAGAATGAGAACAAAGATATCCTGCATATTTGCCTTCAACAAGCACCAGAATTCAAACCAATTTGGTATCCCAGGTAAAGTTTTTTTTTTTTCTTTCAAGATTTCTATATGGTTCAATATTAACTACTGAGATACCATGAATACCTTTCACCACAGTTACAATATGTTTGCCTTCTGTCACATCATAACCTAATCTCACATATCATTTTATAGCATATGAAATCTATAAAATAATAACTGTAAAGTAAAAATAAATAAATAAATACTTGTGCATGATGGGAATCAATTGTTGTTTTTGCTTCTCCTGGTTCCAAAAAAATCCATTGACATACTTCTGTATTATACCATGCTTTCTAATGAGTGATTATTGTCATAAGTTCTGAACAATGACCATTGTCAGATAACACTTTAATTCAGGATGGGTTTTATTTTTAATGTACATAACATTAAATTGGGTAAAATTGAACCAATGCTGCAAGTTTTACATTAAAGTTGGTTATACTCATTTTGAAATTTAAGATTGACAGGTTGCTAATATGAACATGAAACAAAAATTCAGAATTTTTTTGAAATAAAAAATGAATTGAAAAACGCGACGTTACACTGATTTACTTAGTCCCATTTTTGGATCTTTATATATAATTTGGTGCTACGTTGAACCTGCATAACTTGGTCAATATTGAAGTTAATGTTGCTTATTAATAAAAATCAGTGGTTAGAATTTTTTTAAAAATTGTTTAGTAATGTCAATTTTTATTTTGAGTATAGACAATCAGCACTGTAATAATAATATATAAAACAACAACAACAACAACAACAACAACAACAACAATAATAATAATAAAATAAAATTAAAAAAATGCCTAATAAAAGAAATAATAATAACCAAGAATTTGTTGATCCAAATGGAAGAAATGGGTACCATAAAGTCTGGAAAGATAGCATCCCCTTTTTACATGTGTAGCATTTTTTTTATATTAACGTTCAATTGTTTTAAAGTATGGGTGCTATCTTTCCAGACTTTACGGTAAGTGTTATTTATTTAAAAAGAATGAGGTTATTGCCATTTGTCATCATCCTGGTCTAAACCTAACTTTCACATATCTAAAACATTAATTGGAGATTGGATTAGGTGTGGATTACAATTAAGTTTCCAACATATTTTAAAAAAGAGAAAGAAAAGCAAGTATTGTCATATTGATATTTCAAATTGGTTTATAATAATTTCTAATAAAATTTTCAGATTCTAGATGGGATCATATTCATTTTTGAGATTACAATGAAAAAAATATATTCATTAATTATATGAATGCTAATGATGAAAATAGAGATGGCATTATTGGACCAAAAAATCAACATTACATTTTCAAGTTGTCTAAGAGTAAAACAAACTTATTTGACGATTATGATGATATCAATGACATTAACAATTTTGATAACATCGTATCCAAATTTGGTGACAATGCCATTGGTAACAATTACAACAATTATTCTGGTGATAATGATAATAGTAATGGTAGCATTATTGATGATAGTGGTAGTAACAATGACAAAAATGTAAGTCATTAATTTTTAATCATTTAATTGTTAATAAATAAAAAATTACAACAAAATTTCTTTATTCTCTGAGTGAAGTTCCTTTCACAATGATCAATAACGGGTATTGTTGTACTATTCTATTTCTCTTTAACATCCCAGATTTTATTTGATATTCATTATTTATTTATTTATGTTACAAAAGTGACTTCGTTTTCATTGTTCTATATCACCAAATGATAACAAAAGAAACTAAGGGTCAATTGAAAATTGATGTTGAAGATGATGACATCACTGTTACAGTTAATGGAAATTTTTTTGAAATTGTTCAGAAAAGTAAGATTTATTTATACAATTAATATTCAAAAAAACTTTGATTATTTATGTACCATTTCTTTTGAAAGAATAACAACAGATGAAAGCGTTAAAGTCCAAATTGACAAAGAAATGATGACATTATTTTTTAAGAAGAAGGTTAGAGGGAAGAAACGAATGAAACTAGAATGATTTTTTTCATTTTCATCACTTGTTATAATTTGATAAATCTTTGGTGGTAATAATATCAATAGTACTACTTCAGATAAAGAAGTTATCTCTTTATTATATTTTAATAAGGGTCATTCAATTAATAAAAAATGAATTGGTTTGCATAAATGAAAGTCCATCAACATAAGCATAATGGAAATTTGTTGTTGCACAAAATTTTATGCTTCACCAGTATATAGTTGTTACCTCTCTAAGTTGGAGATCAAGTTCAGATACGATTCAAATCCAGTTTATCACTTAATGTTTGCATTGCACAATATAAAAAAATTAGTGATTAGTAATACAATTAAAGACACATGTTGTAATCGGTTATTTGCGGCAATGGTAATTACCAGCTCAATCATTCACAACAAGTCTCTTTAAGTACAATGATGATAACTAAATTTTGAACCTTGAAATTATTGGTAACACCAATGTTCACTTTGTCTGGTTTTGTTGCAGCATACCCCATATATTTTATTTAAGCTTACAAATTTTCTAGATCTAAAGAAAAGTTTAAAAATCCAGGAAAATATTAACAGGATGGGTAAATTTAATACAAGAGATTTCAATTAGAAGCATCCAATTAATATTCATTATAGTCATCGTTTCTGGTTCCACGATTCAATTAACCTTTGTATAAGATAGATAGTGGGTAATTAATCCAAAAGCACAGATTAGATAAATACTGCTACCCATTTGAAATCAGGAGGGTTGAAGAGTAGGTAGGATGGGCTGTTATAATTCAAAATTATTGACAAAGAAAAAGTCGGCATGAAAAATTCAAGGCGTGTAACATTGGCAGATGCCCCACCCCTACATATTGCCTTTTCTAATTGAAAATTTTGAATGATTAATTGTTACACGAACGACCTTTTTTTTTTAATAAAAATGTCAACAGTGAAAGAATCAAATACTACTGTATCTTCTGATTCAGAAAGTAATGAAACTGGCAAAAAAAAACATAATTTAAAGCCTTTGGATCTTCAAAGATTACAAGTAGAACGGTTGCTACAGCGAATAGATAAGCCCGTTACTATACCTGAAATACAAGATAAACCAAAACTAAAACCTCCAAAAGACATTGTTAGAAATGTACAAGGTAAAAATTTCCTTATCCATTTGTTTAATTAATTTCTTGATATATTACTTGATATATATATACATATATTTTATAATAATACTATTTATTACCATCATGTTTAAAAAAAGGATCAAGTGCTGGTGCTGGTAGTGGAGAATTTCATGTTTATAGAGCACATCGTCGAAGAGAATATACAAGAATAAAACTCATGGAAGAAGAGACAGCTAAGGTTCGGAACAAATTTATTTATTATATATTTTGATTAATTGATTAATTTAATAATTATTTTCATAGGAAGAGGAAAAACGTGAATTTGAAGAGAAAATCGCATCTATAAAAGAGCAAGAGGAACTAAAAACTGCAAAAAAACGTGCCAAACGACAAAGGAAAAAAGGAAAAAAAAAATCTGCAAAAAAACAAAAAACTGAAGAAGGAAAAGAATCAGGATCAGAATCAGGATCAGAAAAGTAAGGATTACTATAATAATAATCTTAATAGTAAATTATTATAACATTAATAATATTAATAATAAATGTAAATAGATAATTTACACCACATGAAATCCTTTCATCAAATCATTCATTCAAAAAATTGATGTGCTATATATACACACACATATATATAATAGAAAAGCATAAAGCATGAGAATATTGTATATTTATGTTTGCAACAAGCAAGAATAAGCCTTAGCAACAAGGGAAAAAAAGATAATATTGTATTATTATTTCTATTGATACAGTATTTATAAATAAATAGAATTCATCATAATCATCAGTATTGTTAATATCAATGCTTATATGATTACCAACACCTTCATTAGCGTTAAATATATTTTTATACGTGTCCATAACTGATTTTTTTCTCCTCTCAACTTATCCAAAACTTGTGAATAATTCTATGATTACATTTCATTCGCATTGGTGACATAATCACCATATATATCCCATATGAACATTAGTGTATGAACCAAAGGTTCCATCAATAATCATATTATTCTAAGTGATGGATGATGCAAAAGAATTATGTTGGTTATAATTTATATTATTTGCATTACTTTTATTTTCACTTTGAGACCTAATATTTTTTGAATTTTGTGTGGCCGTATCGTATGAGTGAGTAGTGAAGGAGGGAGGGATGTTAACTGTCTGGCCCATTCTAAGACGGTCACTCCATACCGACCATCAGCCTTGAACTTCAATCTAGACTACGGTCTTAGGACCATGGTCCTAAGAATATTAAATAGCCTGTCCGAGTTGGTCTTTATTTATATAATAATTAGTCACCAGAACATCAATATCAACACTAATATAAGAATGAATCATAGTTTTTATGCAATCTCTTTCCTTCTCTGGTCAAGATTTCAATCCTTTTTTGCGAAATGGCATTGTTAATTGAATAGAGAATTCCCAAAAATGCAATTATTTGTGAATCGTTATTATAATAATATGATTTGTCTACAATAATAATGATTTGCTTAAAGTTTAGGATTTCCCCTGAATAAGAATATAATGATTGATAATCTTTAATTTAAAATGATTTTCATTATAATAAAACCTTATTTTTAAAAAAAACAAGAGAATGGACGTAACCGGTGCCACTATTTGTGATGAATTACCTCACCCTGAGACTTGCGATATTGTTTTACCTAATCAAAAAGAATACGTGTCTCAAATAGCTGTTGATGTATGTATACGTTAATATACATACATATACAATATATTAATCCTGTACTTTTTTATTAACATTTATACTGATATATTGATCCAAATATCATCAATAATCCCAAAACATTAAAGATTGGTGGATCATTAGCCAAAGTTGTATATTTTTCTAGAAGACCAAATTCTTCAAATGGTGGAAGATTGAATTTTATAAAATTTGAAACTGAAAAGATTGATGAATGCATTGATTTTATTGCAAATTTAGTTTTTGCAAGAACACACTCAATCAATAAACAATCAGATTCAACTGCTAATAATAATAATGGTAATGGCAATGATGGCAATGATAATTCAAATGGAAAAGTAGTAATTAAAGCAACTGGCGGAGGTGCACATAAATATTATAAAAATTTTCAAGAAAGATTAAAAGGAGTAAAAATTGAAAAAGAAGATGAAATGGAATGTCTTATAAATGGTAAATTACTAATAAATTATTACCATTTATATATTTAATTTATATATAAAGATCTTTAATATAATAAATATATATATACTTATATACTGTATATATATTTTAGGCTTAAATTTTTTGATTTCAGAAATTCCATATGAAGTTTTTACTTATAGTGAACAAAACCCAATGTGTTTTGAAGGCACTCCTTCAAATATGTTTCCTTATATGGTGAAAATATTTAACTACTCATTTATTATAATTATCATCATTATTATTAATTCATAACATATATGTGTTAATTTTTTAATTGGTTTTTAGATTGTTAATATTGGATCTGGTGTTAGGTAAATGATCACTATAATAATAATAATGATAATAATAAATAAATAACTTATTATCAATTAGCTATTATAATAATAATAATGATCATTATTATTACATCGTTCATAAATATAAAGCATATTAAAAGTTACAGCTATGGATAAATTTGAACGTATTTCTGGAACATCTGTAAATATTATGTTACTATCATTATTATAATACTATGATGATAAATAATTTGTAAATAATTATTCTTTATATTTACAAGTTAGGTGGTGGTACATTATGGGGATTATTATCTTTGTTGACTGGAGCAAAATCTTTTGATGGTATTTATTGAAAATTGATATCAATTGATTTAAATTCTATCAAAAATTACTTTAAATTGCTTTATTTCTTCCAAATAATTAGAAATGTTAGAATCTAGCAAACATGGTGATAACATTAATGTCGCAAGTATTTAAACAAACATTAATTTATTGTTATTGCTATAATACTTCAAAATAATAATAGTAGTAATATTTATTTATAGGATATGCTGGTTGGTGATATTTATGGAACTGATTATTCAAAGGTTGGGCTTAAGGCCACAACAATTGCTTCATCTATGGGAAAAGTGTTCAAAAAGAATGTTAGACAGAGTATGGGCGATTTTAAAAATGAAGACATTTCAAAATCTTTATTATTTATGGTTAGGTAATTATTATTATCATCATTTAAAAATTATATGTGTATCTTAATTATTATCATATATATATACATATATTAAATATATGATTTTTAATTATTATTTTTAGTAATAATATTGGTCAAATTGCATATTTAAATGCAAAACTTCATGGACTGGATAAAATATACTTTGGTGGATGTTTCATAAGAGGTGATTGATGGTTTATTCTTTTAAATAATGAATATTTGATCTCGTTATTATCAATCAACTAATATTTATCTGTCTGTCTGTCTGTTGATTGATTAGGCCACCCTGTTACAATGAACACTTTATCTTATGCTATAAATTTTTGGTCAAATGGAACAATGAAGGCTTTTTTCCTTCGTCACGAAGGTTACTTGGGCACCGTAGGTGCTTTCTTGAAGCACAGGACAAGACATAGATATTCATTTTCTGAAAACTTTACTATGTCTCAAAAGATAACCGGGAGTTCCACTTATGCTTATGGAATTTTAGAAAGCACTCCAACAAAACTAGTTGCTTTCCCAAAAATAGGTGACATTGCCCATTATCAACCTGATACCATATCATTAACAGATCCTCAGATTCAAGATCGCTGGATTAGCACTTTAGAAAAAAGTCTTCCTTATATTGTGAAAATGGCTGCCGGGTGGTCTTCTTCTTCTTCTTCTACCACCACACCCACCAACACCAATACTGCTACTTCTTTAAATACTACTAAAAATTCAGACGAAAATGTTATTAATAATGAAGGCCCACTCCAACTAGAAAAACAGCAAGAAGATAATGAAGATGCTAAACGTCGTGCTTCAACATTTGATACATTATTTAGAAGCCACTTGGACAAATTACGTGATCAGCCAAACATGTATGGAGCTTTTACCGTTAGAAATTCATTGGATTTAAGAGAACATTGTTTGCGTGAACTAGGTTTTTCTGACGTTTTTGCAAAAGTCAAATCAGAAGAAAATAAGGCCGCATTAAAAGATCTTCCTGAAGTTCTAAATAAAGTTGACTCGCTTATTTCCATTGATGAAAAAGTTGAATATTTGATTGGTAACATTTTGGCTGGTAATATGTTTGATTGGGGATCTGATAAAATACTTGAAATGTTGACAAATGGTGAACTATCGTTTAGCAATGCTCATAATAAAATAAATCAAACCAATCATTTAAATCAATCAAAAAGATTTATTCAAGTAATCAATAATCGTTCGTCATTCAAAAAAGTAGTTATGTTTGTTGACAATTCTGGTGCCGACATCATTTTAGGAATGATACCTTTTGCTAGATTTTTTATTTCCCGCGGATCTGATGTTATTCTTGCAGCTAATAGTCATCCTGCTATTAATGATGTTACAGTAAGTTTTTCCTCATATTCAATAAAAAAATTTTTTTTGATAATTTTAATTTTAATTTTAATTTTAATTATTATTATTATTATTATTATTATTATTATTATTATTATTATTAGTTTGGTGAATTATTAAATATCATAAAATCAGTGGTTGAAATTGATACTTTGATAGCAGCAGCTTGGGCATCCAAGAAACTTGTAGTCATGGGAACTGGAAGTTCTGGTCCGTGTCTTGATCTTGGAAGAATCGATGAAGAATTAGCCAATGCTTGTTTAGATGTTGACTTGGTAGTATTAGAGGTAAAAGATTATTTCCATTTAAATAAATATATAATATATTCATATCATTTATTAATCAAATAAAATGTGTAATATATATATATATGTGTATACATTAGGGAATGGGTAGAGCGATTCAAACCAATTATTATACAAAATTTATTTGCTCTTCATTAAAAATAGCTGTTATCAAGAGTTCAATGGCTGCAATAGAACTAGGAGCAAATATATATGATACCGTGGTATTATATGAAGAAGGAACTAAACAAATTTGATGATTAATCATTTTATTTATTTAATTGTATTTTTATTTAGCCTGTCTGTAGATTTAAAAAAATAATAAATAATTTAAATTTTCTGGTAAAGAAATTCGTCCACTTCACGTGACAAAATAGTTTGCTTTTAACATTAATAAATTGGGTTAAAGTTTTTTTTAATAAATACACACGCGTACTAGAGCGTTTGATAATCTTTAAACTTGTTAAATTCTTTCTTGTCTCAAAAACACAGCCACAATAAATTATAAATAAATAAATGTCAAATGTTGAAATCAATCATCTATCTTTAATAAAAAAAATCAAGACGAGGATCGTGAAACATGTTCTCTAAAAAATTTATTTTACTTTTGCTTGTAAATATTTTTCTTATAATTTCAATAAGGGCAATACCACATCACAAATTACTTGAATTTGCCAAAGTTGATGTTGATATTTACGATTACGAAAATGACGATTCGGCGATCTTGGTAGAAGTTATAGATGTAGTTGGTGTTGATAATAGCAATGAAAACGATGGAAATTTTGGAGATCTTGAAATTTCTCCTTTATTAGAAGTGGTAACAACAACATCATTATTAGAGGCAGCAACAACAACAACAGCGTCAGCAAAAACTACAACCTCACAACCACCAAAGGATTCAATGATCACAGGATATTATCCAATTACTGAAAATGAAGATAACCCACTTGCAAATATTTTCACGGGAATTTCATGTGTTATGGTTTCACTTATAATACTGTTAGTAATAACAATAATCGGATGGTGTATTTGTATTCGGCGAAGAAAACGTCAAATGCCCAGGTCACTTATGAATTCTGGAATTCTAGAATCTTCAACCACGACAAACACAACAACAAAATCTTCTTTACCAACTTCGTTGGCTAAAAGTGCCATTATGTCAGAATATCATTATGTTCCTTCCACTTCTTATAACGACGATGAAAAGAAATCATCAGTGATCGATGTTCAAAATTATGAATATAAAGATGATAACGGTAAAGGCGATGATGGTAATATCAACAATTCCAAATCATCTGTCATTGATAATATTACCAGCACAACTATTTCCGATAATAATACGAATGCAAGTACCACAGCAACTACTAATATTAGTAACGACAATAATTTCATCACCACCGCTATCGATTCTAATGCTAGCATGAGAGCAATTTATGGTGAAAGTTACAATAGTAGTAACAACAACACCAATTCCACATTAAATGATCAAACTAATGAAACAACCGTTTTCGGTACAACGAGCGCATCCACTTCGATGGTCAATTTATCATCTGAATCTCAACATTCGTTATTGAATAATTAATGAATGAGAAAGAAGAAAATAAAATCAAGGAAAGTTTATAGTGCTCAAAATTGTGAAAAGTTGATTTTCTTTTTCTTTAAAGAATTTTGTTATGAAATAAATATCTATTTAAACATTTTATTATTGATGAATGGTGTCGTCACGTGAACGTGTAAACACGTATATTTTGGTGATGCATCCATCATAGTTGTAAATTTAATTAAAAATAAAAAAATGTGGCTTATTTTTATCCTTAAGGCTGTGCAAGTAAACAATTCAGTCACAATATCAAATTCCCTTTACCTACGGATCATAAATCTTTTATATGCGATATCAAGTTTTAACTAGTCACAAAGAAAAAATAGCCATTTTAAAGGAAATTGATGACAATTTACGAGAAAAAAAAATTGTTGCCAAAATAAAAAAGGGAATTAAATGAAATAACCAAAAGAAGAAAAATTTCAAATAAACAAAATGTATACTATTGATATTATTACATAGTAGAAATTCAACACAGCCACGAAGAGTGGAACGACAAAAAATTATAATTACAATAAAATAATATTTAGTGAAGAATAATAAATATTATCCGTATTTTCTTTCTTGAAAAAACCAAATAATTTTATTTGTTAAAGGAAGAAAGAAAATATTCTGTAACCAATAATGTAAAATATATTAATAATTTTATTAAACATTATTATGGAAAACAAATCAATCAAGTATTTAATTAAAAAGCGTAATTATAAAGTAGAAAATAAGAGAGCATTTGATGACAATGAAGATGACGATGATAACGATGAAGAAGAGGATGAAGAATACGATATTCTTATAGATGAACCTTCTGAATCCTTACCATCATCACCAACAACACCATTGGATCTACGATTATCGTCTTCCATTGATGCTGACACTACAACAACACAAAGTACACCAAGTAATTTTAATTTGGCAGCTAATCCAACCAGCAGTATTTTTAACACGAAATCAAATAAGAATATTTCTGAACAAAATCCACAAGTAAAGTTTTTAATAGGTGTTGGGGCCGGTGTCGTTTTAATCGTGATTGCAGGCCTTGCATTTTTTTTCGTGAATCTTAAACGAAGAAATAGTAGTAAAAAGGATAAAACAATTCAACAACTTAAAAGGTCTACTTCAAGTGGCGACTGGAAAAGAAAATCAAAAATAGCTTTTAAGGATACCGACGAAAAACAATATCCATCAGAATCAACAGGGTTTATAGAAAGTGAGTCATTGCCAAAACCAAAATCCGTCGACGTCTCCACTTCCATCACCATTACTCAACAAAAAGATGAAAGTGAAAAAATACCTGATTTAAGCAGTACATCTGATAGTGGACTTGGATCATTGTACCGACAGTCTATTTCAACAGCGTCATTGCCTTATCAAGACTCTTCAGGGACAACCCAAGAACCAACACCAACAAAATATTCACCGTCATCACCATCATCATCAACATCATCATCAACAACACGTTTAGGTGGTGTTAGTGACATTCCCTTGCAAATAAATCCCATCGGATCACCTCGTGAACACTCCTCGCCAATTTATTCAGGTAGAAATTCACCATACCATTCACCTAGTCATTCAGGTGATCAATTAGATAAAGCATTGTATCTTGAAAGTATTGGTCCGATGTCAGGTTCCACTGGATTACAAACGGATACGAGCCCTAGAGAAACAACAAGACCTCGTACTCAACCATACCAAATAATGACATCTAACGATCCTAATATTCCTTTTCGACATAGCATATCTTCTGTTCCTCTTCATCATCAAATAGATACGGACACAAGTTCTAGAGAAACAACGAGACCTCGCCCTCAGTCATACCAAACAACGTCATCTAGTGATCCTTCCGATGTTTCTTTTCGACACGACATAGCTTCTATTCCCTCAGGTTATCAACAACAACAGCAACAACAGGCTGAACATCCATCTCCTAGTCCAGCTCTACCAGGTGCTACAAGGCTTTCACGTAGTAGTGCTTCACGTGGTTCTAGATCATCCAATAACCCGCCTAGTACACAATCACCTCCTCCTTCTCGATAGTAATAGTTGTTGTAATTCCTGCAAACTCTTTCAAATGTATATATATGTATATATACTTGTCTATTTATGTTTTGATGTATATAATAATAATAATAATCTAAATTATTGGTTTTTGAAATTAATTCTTAATTGTAAATTTATTTTATTTAAATATTTTGTGTAATAATTATACGTACACATACATATATTATAAATGTTTTATCAATAATTCATTTACAAACGTGATTTTAATTTTCCTGTTTTTATTATCATTTTAATTCATTGTCCACAAAATCACACGAAAAAAATAAAATTCAAATTATATTTTTAATTTTACGCGTTTTTTAATTAAAATTAATTCTCCTCTTTATCTAATATAGATGTATTATCTAAACTTTCTAACCCGTCATTATGTAAATTTCAATACCATTCAATAAATAATCAAAACAATGTTGACATTTAAACTGTAGGTCTTGAGAACATTGGTAACGATATTCATGGCCATAAATTGATACACAATTAACGTCATTTTCTTTATTGTAAATAGTGATATTGACCAGAGAATGCATAAAAACCATAGTTCATACTTATATTAGTTATTGTTAAATAAAATTTTAAAGATTTTATTTAAAAATTGTAATAATAGATTATTAGCAATTACCGTATTCTCTTGAATATAAGCACCACTCAAATATAAGCACCAGTATGAATTTGCAATGAAAAAAACAAAAAAATAGAAAAATAAATAT